TAGTTAACCAACAATTGTTTACACTATATACATTACTGATTAAATAGCTATAGAAACATTTACAAGTGCAACAAATAATTATAGGTTAATAACACCACAAGCAAAAAATAAAACGATAAACAAAACATACAGAAAAATAACAAATGATTCCATGGGTGCATATCTATCATAAAAAGACTAGTACTAGTATCGAAACAGTTATTGCATATTGATCCGAAATCAAACTGCAATACTAAGTAAAACTTTGAATGAGATTGAATCCAAAACATAAGTTCAAGCTCTCAAAGCTCAAGTTAATATTTACGTACGCTAGTAAATTAACTTCCAGGAAGAGGATGCTAAAATTAATAAACATTATCAAAATATATACACAACTCAGGTTAACTGCACTACTTAGTAAATTAACTGAGTCCATTCCGTAGTCTGGCGCATAGTTATAAAACGAAATGTTTAAAGTGAGGTGAGCGGTGCGGTGAACTAACCTCACTACTGAAAATTGTATGAAATTCCTTGAATTAAAAATTTCCTAGTGTTCCAAACTAGGTCCGCCAGGTTCGATCTCCGCGCTACACTCAATGTGTTCTGGCACGAGTTCAGCTAATCTAAAATCTTCTACATTGCATTTAACATTCGATCGAATTTTGCTTTGTCAACGTTTTGTTAGAAAATTGTAAACATATCGAAACAACAATTATAAATATACGTAACATAAACAGTATCATGGCGTTTATTCCCTTAGAAGTAGTTAGTAGAAAGATGCAAGTGAAGAAAAGGCCATTGTTAAAAGCATTAAGTATTTTGAAGCTGGAAATACTTATTTATTTTAAACTCATCCGGAAACCAAGTTCAGTAGTTACATTTACAACCACTCGACTAGCAACAATGTGTAACAAATACATAGTGAAGTTTACTCGTAAGGAAGCATTCGTTTTTACAGTAACAATATAAATCAAGCTTATTTGAAATTTATAATGGTATCGCGACGCCGACGCTGCTAATCTTATAAATTATGAAAAACAACGAGAAAGCTATAAATTGCAATTCTGTTACCCGAGCCCGGATCGTAACAAGCCGGGCTCCACTATCTAGTACTCGCCGCTACTCGCTCACCGCCCTCACTATTGTCTTATAAAACAGACCCTACTTTTATTTTCATTATTATTTCAAAGCTTTGATAACGTACCTTTCCGACCACCTCATTGTTTTAGTTACCGTAAATTGAATAACCGCTATTTCATAATACCCAGTTATCAAATGGTTACTCAAGTGTTTGGTGGAATAACGTACCGAATCAATTGTTACTTTAACACAAATTAAGTGGTTGGCTATTAAATTTAATTTAATAAAATATGTATATTTTTGGTAAGGGAAGTCTGTGTCACATAACTACGCTATAAGGTGGTAAAAGCAAATATCCTATTTCATATAAAAAAGCCAAAATCAATTTATACCAAAACATAAAAGCGGCTTCTATACTGGCGGTTTTTCAATAAACAAATTATTAGCCATTATTTAACTAACGTTTAAAACTGGCCGGTAACTTGACTAGTGGACTGGTAAAGCATCGTTACGACTAACTACATTACGTGAACGGGGCATGTAACTGTGCGTTATCAGTTTACGGGCACATCGGCAGCGGCAGGGCACAACTTTTAATTCAGTTCGGGCACAACGGTGCCCACAACGCGAATACAAAACCGCTTTTCACTACAATATAGGTACGTTGCTTTGTTGCAGGAAGATAGTGCATAGTACAGTGTGGCCACTTTGTTACCTCTAAGTTCATATTTATAATTATTGATAGATACATAGCGTCTGCTGCTTTGGTGGACTGGTCTGTAAATGTTTGGACGTCAACTTACCCCCCGTTTTATGATACATTTTGATGAATTAAAATGTAAGTACCTAGGTATGCCACAAGTAAATATTGCAGAATGACTTATGATTACGGTGTATACAATGACCGATAAATTCAATACAGGTGCCAGGTGTCAGCGTCAGTACCAAACATCAAATTAGACTTCCTTTGTTGTCACCAAAATATGTGGAACCTATTTGTTCGGTGTTGTGGTCTTTTTGAACTGTTCACTCGGCCATAAATGTACCGGTGACGTCATACACCGACTTGTCACCACAACCGATGACTGACCGCTCTGATTCATCTTTGTGTGAAATTAAACCGGCACTTGAACGAGATCGGGTAGGCTTTATAAAGCTTTACGTAGATTCAATTATTTTTTTTATAAACTAATTTGAGCACGTTGATTTAGAGCTCATTCTAGCTAGAACGCTCCTCCTGAATGCTACGTCGTCGGAAAACCCACAGCGCGTTTAATTAGAACACAAATAAAAGACAGTTCGTGCCAATCTTTGAATTTTCCAAGAAAATTCTTAGTGCATTTTAGTTAGATTACAAGTAGAACACGTGCTCACTTGTTCAGTGAGTGAGTGAAATAGCAAACACAACTGTACACGTCTTCCGGTAGCAAACCAATTCCATTTTTCATTTATTGAAAAATTTTCTTGAAACATTTCACCTGCGCCCACTAAACACGAAAATTCAATCTGAGTTTCAGCATTCCCAAGTTTGATCGTACCTACCACTCGAAATTTTACATCTATAACTACATATATTTACGTCATAGCACTCAAGTTACAATTTAACCGTGCATGATTTTACGATATACATTTAAGTTAAGTATCGGCTACATAGTGATAACTCCCTAAGCACAAACTCACAATTCGATCAAATATATCGCTGGCAGTAAAACCATAAAAAGAAGGGAGGAAAGTCATTCATGTGTAAAGTACTTTTTTCGTGAAAGTCGTAGAGATTTCCCGTGCCTCCGTCGCGCGCGATTTTATGGTAACATGGAACATGACACCTGCGGCCTGTAGGCCAAATGTCGCCGTGTCCTCTGCTCAGTCATTCAAATTTATTCACGAGTTAGGATGCCGCGGGCTGTTCCCTCGCCTGACAATTCTCAACATCCGTGCCCGCACGCGTACAGTGGCGCACGCGTCTATAATTTGAAACAACACTGTATCGTAACACTGCGTCCGGAGGAAACGGCTGATCGATATTTATGAGAGTCTGATGCTAGCTCGAATTTGATTTCAAACTTGAATACCAAAGTTCATCATCGACTAAGCGGAAACATAGAATTTTTACCCAGAATGTAGATTCACATTTCTTCGGAAATTATTTATACTGAGAGAAGTCTCAGTCTGTTTGTTACTGAGGCTCCCCTCAGTAACACAAACAGATCTCAAAAATATGGTGTAAAATCGACAATTACTCTTTAACATAAAGGGTTACTGGTCGAGCAGACCCGCATCAAATTATACCTTATGCGACCCTTGAAGGCAATTTAACTGTAACAGATAACTGCAGGTCGCCTCCATATTAAATAATTTATGTCGTGATAAATTACGAAATATTTTCCTTTCGTAAGAATCTTAATACTAATAAATTCAACAAATACATTATATCGACTGGCTGGACGTCCGGCGTCGGCATTGTCTAGTAACTGCGTAGCGGTGACATGCTCCTGTTGTTTATTGGTGTTCATAATTCGAATCTGGAGGTTTTGTTTGCATGTAGGGAACGATATAAACCAATGGATCATACATAAGAATGAACCTGTCTACAATACCTCATTGCAATCTATCCCATTCGTAATACACGCAAAAGTGACATCAAAGCACCCAACCCTTGTCTTTAACACATCAAATTAAATAAACTGCGAATAATTTTACTTATTTGAAAAAAAGTCCCAGATCAGATAAAAAGTGAAATAATATTATATGAAAGATTAAAAACTGTCATCTATGTACAAGTGTCTGATTAAGACCTAGGTAATACGCACTGACTAACCCCAACCTAGTCGGGAAAAAGCCAGAAGACATATATACGACCCAATAAACATCATATCAAATATTTTCGGGAACGTAATAAATAAGTGAGAACATATATTATGATATGTAAAAATAACATCGTTATATAAAATGTCAGTGAACAAGAAATCAACCGCTGAATGGAAATAATAAGCACTTAACCTTTTTATGTACACATATTGCACAATAAAAGCTGTCTAAGAAAGATGCCGAAATGAAATTTGACATAAAAGGATTCATCATCAGATATTGGATATAATGAAATCAGGGTGCTACCTACACCTACTGTGACTGTGAATACGGTAACTCAACCAAAATGGTAAACTTCGATAAGAAACTGAAAGTTATATAAATATTAATAGGTCCCACTTTACATGAATCGTAAACATTACAATGTGCGTGCTTATATGGAAGTGTTCGGAAGGAATTTACGTGCTTAATTTTAATTGCTTATGTTTTACTGTCGGTCTTTCTCATAGATCCATGGTTGCAAGTGTAACAAGTCGAGCACAAGATCTTGGATTCGTAACCCAGTTCGAATAAATATTATCTATTGTGTTTTGCGATTATAGCATATATATATCTGTTACTAAGTATTACTGTACGGACAATATAGGTATTTTAGTATTGGTCATAGTGTGTTAGTACCTGTGTATCAAGCTGTACCTAAACCTGCAGGGAAACTGTAACGTGCTGTTATGTTTTATTATCTATATTTTACGATCTGCGGCACGACGAACGTACGTACTTCGTCCTACCTACACGTACTATAAAATATCTTCAACGTTTACGATCTACAAAAACAACAAGAAATTACGGCACAAGGAAAGTAATTTTCCAGTTTCTTTGTCATTTCCCACACGTTGAGGTAATTCACGACTATTACTGAATTCCATTGAAAAAACATAATCGCACCGAGTGCAAGACACCATATGGCCGTTATGGCCATCAACCATGTCCAAAGACATAAATGGGCACGTTGTCGTCACAGTCGGAATACCTGTGCGAGCGGCGCAGGGGCAGCCTTGCCGCGCCGTGGGGCGAGGGGGAGGGGGGGCGGCACTCCCGCGCAACCTGCTGCCTCCGTCACTCCTCGCGGCCAGTGCCTCGCCCGCGCATGCTCGGCGCCCATACGCGCACCGACTACACGCAATACGAACATTTGTGTGATATAAACCTCCAAAACAAACGAAATACTAGTGCTAACTTAGTGAAGTGACAGAAAGATCTAGTGATGTGCCTCTAGTTATTTACAAATAAGGTAAACAGTGCAGTTGATATTTATTTTGGTACAATATTCTACGTTTTAAGACCAACAAGGGCATTTGTAAGTTAGCTATGCAGTTTAGCATTTAAGACGTAGGTACTTATCATGTTCGTACAAGGATTAGTACTGTCATTAAAGTTATTTTAAGTTATATCTCTAGCTACTATAGTATCGTAGTAGTATTCAAAGCAGGTGCTTTGGATTTTGTGAATGACTCGAGTGTATTTGCAAGCAACCGGTTCATGGCTTGCATAATATGTTAAATGGAGTAGTGTGTCACCGAAGCCTGCGCATTCTGAACACATTGCCCAAGTACAGAAAGTGACAAATATTACCAAGTGTCGCGTTAATGACATCATACTGTATAACATGTTCGCACTCCACCCACCGCGCACGTGTCGTGAGGTTATACTCAGCTGTGATTTATGACAACTTAACTATAAGACAATCACTTTAAGAAATGTCTAAAACCTCTAAAAATATTTTGGGTTCTTACGACATTCAATGATTGTTTTGATACAATGTACACAAACATACAAAACCAGTGTGACGTAGTATATATGAGATGCAGGTATCTAAATAGTGAGATCGTTTTTTTAGCATTTGTGTAAAACAGACAAAAACAATCATGATATTTTAATGTGCCTGACCTGACGGCATAATTACAAAAATTACATACATAACGATCCTCTTCATATTTATTAAAATATTATTATTATTAAAATAAGTACGTACCATATTTTGCGTACGTCAGTTTTAGTCAGCAATTATTTTCAAGATGAAATAAATCATTACTTTTTCCAAGAAATTGTTTGAAAGCCATTAAAATATTTTATTCAGATCAGATTGAGTTGTATACCGACTACTTAACAATCCCGAGAACCAAAAATGAATGAGAATATTTAATTACAATTTCATTCCATTACTTACGTTCAAAATTCCCGGTAGATATACTTCCATGCGAATGGTTCACAGAACGGTGTCAAAATATTTTATCCCACGGAATGTACACTTGACGACCCATACCTAACTTCTATAGTAGTAGGAGGTCGCGCAGAACCTAACGGGTTACCGGGACTACGGCTCGAAATGCAGAGTAGGAACGGGGTGGTTTTTAGTCAGTAAGAGTACGACACTACACACAGTCCCTCCCGCCTCACCCAGGCGGGAGAAGTGATTCGATGATTTTCCCCCCTTAAAAAAAAGAGTAGTAGGAGTCTCTATCCAAAAGTTCTCTGTAAGAAATCGCTTTGTGCGATAAAACCGCGCATCACTATTACTGTTAAGATTGTCCAAACGTATATAAAGCTAAATAAATAAATATGTCCCTATTTACCGACATCTCCCGCTAAATACTGCAGACATATGAAGTGTAAAGTAGTACACGTACGTTGTATACATAGATATTTCTACGTGGATGGCCGGCACATTATCGGACGCAACCGAGCACGAACAACGTCGTTAGCCGCCGCTTGTTAAAAATAAAATTATACAATTTTAGCACCCCTCCATTTTATTCCTTTTGTACATACACTTACTCCGTTTACAATTCAAGAAAAATACGTAACCGAGGTCGTATTGTTACCTTTAGGTACTGTATTGTGAGCAAGATTGGAAAATAAACGAACAATGAGCACCTTCCTAAATCTGAGGCTTCGGCTACTTACTTACCTACGTTTTATGATTTCCCTTAGTGTTGCCTGGATTTATATCGACGTTGGCTTTTGTTTGATCTTTTTGTGTGGTTAAAACAAAACATTAATCTGCATCAATTACAAAAAGGAAAAATAGCATTGACCTTTTAAAGGTTACTTTAGATTTGTCTCCTGGCCAGAATCTCACAAAGAGTGGTTTCCAAATACAAAAGGAATAATTTGTAATTCACCAAAGTTTCTTACTCCTCGTATTGAGTGTCGGAACTATTAAGATGACACCAATTAACGACAATGTAGGTGTTTATTTAAGTGTTGAATATTACCAAGTATCTCTAGATGAAGAATAACCGCCAAATGCAGATTACCTAACTCCAAGAGCCAGTCTCGTATCGTAGGTGTTACATATCATACAAATATATCATAACATCTGAGCTAGCAGGTTTCCTTCTACACACTGATTAAAATTCAAATCGTGTTAATATTTTCCTAAATCAACGAAAATTTGGTTGTGAATTTGTTATAAATTCAACAGGGACGTTCGTAATTTATGCTTGGTCATCGCATTAAATCAGTCCACATGTCACTGGTTGAATATTTTGTGGGCAGTGGTAGCGGTGAATTCACTGAGTGCCACTAAAAACTGTCCAGCAGCCGCCTGCACGGAGCGAGCCATTGGTTGTACAATTACGTCATTTTTGGACCGGTCATGTCTTGAACCAACAGAAAACTTGACACATTCGCAAAACTGACGGTTACTTAAGGCTATAAGATTAAGTTGGTGGAATTCAGAACGGTTACAGTTTAACTGAAATAAAGTTTACAGAAAGAACAATAATAGGAAATACAGAAGATAGTCACCGAGTTTGCGTTTAATAAAGTATTAGATCGACGATTAAGTAAAAAATCGAGGTAGGAAAAAATCATTTTTAGGTATTGCAAGGGTATTAAGGGACTACTTATTTGATAAACACCAAACGACAACACTCTGATAAACGTGAACCTTATTAAATAAACTGTAATCTCTCAACTATACACATTGAGGCAAACCGTCTTATGAAGAGGAGGTTCTTCATAAGGCATCTGCTGATATCTCAGCCTACTTACTGCCATTGGTGGTTGGTGTTCATAGTGTATTCTTAGTCGTTATGGGACAATTGCACAACAGGTCAGGACTGACTATTATATATGACAGAATTAAAACAGTATTCGGAATTTCGGATGTTTGTGAACCAGTTAAACGTGAAATGTTATTTCTGTGGAATATGAAGAATTAACGGAATTCAAACTGTAAGTGATTTGTATGTAAAGGTTGTATGTACAATATTTTATCATTTCAATAGATTTTAACTATAACATAACATAACATATGCCTTTTTATCCCCGAAGGAAGGTGCACATTACGGCACTTTGTGCCACTGGACAATGAAACACCCACATTTCACTATTTATGTTATGAGTCCCATTTAATAGGGGGTGAGCCTATTGCCATATACCCGGCACATTTCCAGACTCCGTGCTACTACTGAGGTTTTTACAAACCCAGTAATACTTTGCCCGACCCGGGAATCGAACCCGAGACCCCTTGCCCGGCAGTCGCACTTGCGACCACATGGCCAATGAGGCAGTCATTTTAACTCGTCGAGTACCGTCATTATAGACACAATTATAGAGCAATAGGTTGCGGTCCGCTTGGTGTTTGACAGTTTAATTGTAATTCATCATATTGCTTAAACTTACTTGAATCAGAATAATAGACAATCTTTAGATATACTAACCCTATCCAGTAGGTATTACCTACTATAAATGCGAAAGTTTGTAAGAATGCACGTGTGTGTATGTATGTGTGTGTGTGTGTGTGTGTGTGTGTGTGTGTGTGTGTGTGTGTGTGTGTGTGTGTATGTGTGTTCGTTACTCATTCACGTCAAAACGGCTGAAGGAATCGAGATGAAATTTGAAACAGGGATAGATTACGGTCTGAAGTAACACATAGATCACTTTTCATATCACGGGGACGCGGGCGAAGCCACTGACTGAAGCTAGTAAACAATAAAGCAACTATGACAATTAATTAAATACAAGCATTAATCGCATTACCTCGGTGTAGATTTACACAAGTCTAGACTGCATGGTGAGCTAAGTCTTATTATTTAAAACAATGACCAGCTCAGGTGGCTGCGCTCTGAATGTCGTCTCTTCAGACAAGGCATTGAAGCTTACAACCATGACCAGAGAACAATGTAAACGCACTAAGTTTTTTGTACTTGTGTTTGTGTACTCACCAACACATAACTCTACGACAGTTAAGTTAATTGTGTCTTGTTTAACGTTTATGGGGTAGGTCATGGTCCATAGTGGGTATTTGATGGGAATTGTTTTTAACCTAACCTAGCTTTTGCGTTTGCATTGTAATCGAATATGGGTTCAATTTCAACTGCTGCCAAGATAGCACTTCTTTTTGAGGTAAACCTCATGCTCATATTTCGAATTACGGTAGTTGACAGGTAGTCAAATTCAATACTTTTATTGAAATGTCATAAACGATACTATTCTATGAATTTTGTATTGAATCGCAACTTATGACGTCGTCATTTTTCTGCGTCAAATAGCATCCTTATTTCCTTAAAATTAGATAAAATCCAAAAGTAGATAAATTGTCAAATCAATGGATGATAGTATGATTATTTTTTAATTATTTATTGCATTAAAAAGTTGAAACAATTTATTTTAAACCTAGGAAACTAGCCTAACATTAATGTGTATAAAATGATAACTTTGTACTCCTTCAAAGACATCAGCTTTCCATTTATTTCGTTGTTGAATCCAAGACAGCTGTTTACGTCTCTCTAAGACTAGCCTACCATTTATTTTGATGTTTCTATGACTGGTATCTCCAGTAGATCCTGGCGACAGAAATTGCTATGGTTACCCCAACCAATACAATTGAAATGAATTAAAAACATACTACTTTATTATTAAATCTTCCTACAATAAAGAGATTGGTACAAAAGTACTTTGTTCGCGTAGGAAGAGTGCGTGATATGCGCGCGCATAATGACGACAACGGAACCGAACACCCGACTTCCTACACGACGCCGCGACGCTTGATGGATGTGCATAACAGTGCCACTGTCACTGCCAACTTCGATAACTTATAATACACTTTCCTTATAGCATAGAAATTCTATAGGTACTGCTAGTCTCGTTTTTGTGTTAATTTGCGACTACATATATTGTACAGTAGGTACTATAGTTTATATAAACTATTTCAACTTCACATTATTATATTTCTATGAATTTATACAAAATGTTAATAAGTTATTATTTACTGAAACGTTTCTA